ACACAAACACACACACACACACACACACACACATACATACATACACCCATTAGTAGGCACTAAAGAGAGGGTCTGTTTTTTAGGTAAAAATGCACTGTCCAAAACCTTGCTGTTTCACCCATTCCTTTTAAAAGGGTACAGTGTTTCCAGTTGATCAGCAGCAGTATCCAGAAATGTTTGGAGTTTCGAACCTACATAGGAAGTCTGAGATGTTTTAGCTGTAATTTTAGTAAAAGTTTTACGGCACTTGCAACACAATAGGTCATAATATAAGTGCCGAAGATTAGAAGTGTAACAAGAGAGTAGCAAACACATAAAAGAACTACGGGAGATAAGGGTGATAGATTTTGGATAGGAAAGAAAGAGCAAACCACACGAGAGCACCTGCCAACCACCCACTGAGATGATCCCTATGTTGGTAGTCCAGTGGTTATGTCTACCAGACTTGAATCGTGAGGTTGTAGGTTCGAGAGATTGGAGGCCTAACTCGAATTACACTTTATCAGTTCTTGTTCTTGTTCTTGTTCTTGTTCTTGTTCTTGTTCTTGTTCTTGTTCTTTTTGTTCTTGTTCTTGTTCTTGTTCTTCTTCTTCTTCTTCTTCTTCTTCTTTTTCTTCTTCTATCCCGTGGTTGGGGCAACCGTGGGGGCACCACTGCATCTGAAAACCATTTCTGCTCTGGCCATTAATTATCTTTGTCCTCTGCTTTCCTGAGATTGTCCCCCATCGTCTTTCCTGTCCACCCTGTAATGTTGTCCTCCCACCTCCTTCTCTGCCTCTCTGAGAGAGGATTAATTATTGCATCAAGCCAAATCAAATCTAACCATGTGCCCCTTTCGTCACTGGCGGTCCCCAGCAGACAGCTGTCGCTTTCGGAGGCTCCCGTGTATACGGCCGGGGAGGAGATGTGACTGGGAGAACCATGTATGTGTTGGACGCCAACGATAAGCCTGTCATGCTTGTGGAGAAGGTGAGCGATAAGCAGCTGTGACTTGCTTTATTTTTAGGGTTGCTGTTCTTTATTACCTACGTTTTTCTTAAAAACACAAAAGCAGAAAATAGAACACCATACTGTGGGTTCGTCAAGGATGCGACACCTCATAGAGATGTATAACATGTCAAGTTGTAAATTGTGTATAAAGCCTGATATGACACCCAAAAGACGGGAGTTTGTTTTGTTTGTTTTAGTAGACGTTTTACGGCACTCGCAACTGCATAAGGTCATATGAGCACCAGAAGATTAGAGGTGTTGCAAGAGAGTAACAAACATAAAAAAGAAGAAGGGGGAGATAAGGATGATTGATGTTTCATAGGAAAGAAGGAGCAAACCACACCAGAGCACCCACCAACCACCCACAGACGTAAGTTTGATTCTCTCATGAGAAGATAATATTTTCTTTAATGCAGAAGACTAAATTATGCGTCTTTCTGCTGAGAGATATACTTGTATCACTCGGAGCGGCCCATCTCTTATAGGTTTATCTGATTGTGTTGATTGTGGTGTAAGATAATTATTTCAGTAAGCATAACAAGGTAGGACTCAATTCTAGGACCACACATGCACGCGTGCACGCCCGCACTCACACACACACGCACACAAACACACACGCTTAACAAACACACACACACATACACACACACGCACACACACACACACACCCACACGCACACGCACACAAACACTCACGCATTAACACACACACACACACACACACACACACACACACACACACACACACATACACGCACAAACGCACACACACACACAATCGTGTTTTACTCAACTCATACGAACACATTGTCATAATTCCCAGAGTCTACAAGATGGCTATTTTTTTTGCAGGTCAGAGTCTGAATATGTAGAAGATAGCGTTGAATGCTTCACAGGCTGCCTGGTTGTATATCTTCTGGAAGACGCAGAATGTTTTCGAAAGAGTAGTTGCTTTGTTCACTTGCACTTGATTTATTGCCCTTTTTTCATAAAAAAAACAAGACGCACAAGAAATTTGATATTTTGTTATTGCGCCAGTGAGCTCTTAACATGACCAGCGACGGTGACGTCAGTGGGCTAGTGGTTAGGCTGTTGGACTGGCAACCAAAGAGCGGTGGATTCGAACCCAGTCAGTCCTTGGGAAATGCAATTTGCACGAATTTTTCTTTTGCCCGTGTGGGAATGAATACCCGACTATAGATAGCGAAAGATCCAGTTTATTTGTAGTTGAGCGTTTGATTCATAATTGGCTGCTTGTATGCTTCCCAGAAAGCCGAGCATGTTCCTGAGTGTTTTAATGTTTGTTGTGGCAGTGGTAGAATGCGCATAGAGTTCGCATTTAAGTAAGGATGTGCACTAAACAAATTACATTCTTCTTCTTCTTCTTCTTCTTCTTCTCCTCCTTCTTCTTCTTCTTCTTCTTTTTCTTCTTCT